GTGGTGGTGTTGGGAGGAAGATTATTCCAAGCAGAATGAACACAACCCATAAAGGCGCAAAAGTAAATATCAGCCTGTATTAAAAAAAAATGGAAACAGGGACTCAACCTGGTATTTTACACCCACATGCACATTAGAGTTATTCACAGAAGTAAAAAGATGGAAGCAACCCCGGTGTCCATGCACGGACCAATGGATAACAAAGAGCAGCACATACACCTGAGTGAACGCTGGGACATCACTGTAAGTGAAATAAGCCAGGCACAAAAGACAAATACTAAATGGTCCCACCGTTACGAGCTACCTGGAGTAGGAAATTCATAGGGACAGGAGGTAGAAGGGTGGTTGCCAGGGGCTAGTAGGAAGCAGGAGTGGAGAGTCACTGTTTACTGGACGCAGAGCTGCAATTTCCCAAGACGAGAAGAGCTCTATGGAGGAATTGGGTAGTGATTTGAAAACACTGGGTGTGCATTTATTAGCACTGAACCGCAGACTTAAAATGGTAAAGATGGGAAATTTTATGTATATGTGTTTTACCACAATTTAAAAATACCTTAAACAGCACAAGCCATCACAACCACATTCTGAGTTAAAACATTAGCTAATTACTTCTACATCTACACTCTCAAAAATAATAATGCAGCTAATTTTACACACATTTGCATTATGTAAACTTGAAATAGGAAAATATTAGTAAATAACACCATATTAAAAATAGAAATATCATCACTTCTCGGCCTCTTGGCTAAGATCAAGTGTAAACATGGAAATGTGAATCTCTCCTAAGATTTTTTTTTGCTCTAAAGAAACCATATAGTTTTAGGACTCAAAGGCCAAAGTGAATCACGAACTGTGTTTTTGGTAATATTTTGACAGCTTTAACTGGCAAGCAAAAGTCCCATCATTCTTGTCTGTGACTTCTGAACTGTACAGTACACGACTTCTGTGAATATTGTCATTATTTATGAATAATAGTTAAGGACCCTGTTTATTTGAGAGGCAGAGGTGGGTAGGAGAGGGGGAGAGAGTGAGACAGACAGAGACAGAGACAGAGCTTGCGCCCACTGGTTCACTCCCCAAAGGCCTGTAATGACCAGAGCTAGACCTGCTGAAATCTGGGACCTCAGAATTCAATCCAGGTCTCCCACATGGGTGTTAGGGACCCAACTACTGGGCCATCATCTGTTGCCTTCCAGGGTATACAACAGCAGAACTGAAATTAGGAGCAAAGCTGAGATTCAAACCTATGCACTCTGACACAGCATACAGGTGTCTTAACCTATGTCTTAAACTCCAGGAAAAAACATCTCCCCAGTTATTATTTTTCAATGTATTTTTATAAATGTAAATTTTCCCTATATTATAATCTTGATATGGTAACATTAGCTTCAATACTGAAAAATAAGAACCACAGATAAATAAATAATTTTGGAACAAAAAGTAGAAGTCACACAATCTTAAAAAGCAAGTCAATCATTTATGATTGATCACCTATCTCTCTAGGCCACAAGGCATCTTTACATTTTTCTTTAATAAATACCCTACCTCCTTCACCTTGTATGTTATGAGAACACATCCCTACACTGCATAGTATTCTGTAATGACAGGAGTCTACACAAATGCATCTGCACATGAAATTGTATTGTGTAAGCCCAATTTCCCATTAGAAATGCTGGGCTTTCAGTGTCCAAAATGTGCTACTCCTGGCTGTGTTCATCTGTATTCTGTTACTACAACAGAACGCTGGAGACTGGGGAACTTATAAAGAGAGGATGTTTATTTAGTCCACACAGGGTGGCTCAAAGGCCAAACGGCATGGTGCCAGCTCTGTGGGGGCCTCTGGCTCTGCCCACCCAGTGCAGATGGCACTGCAATGGTGGGAGCATGTGGGAGAGGAGAGACCATATCAGGATGGGAAGCCACAGCACGAGGAGGAGCCAGTCTTGGAACCTCCCACAAGGTTCTCCCTCTTGAAGCCCTGCCATCTCTACACACAGCCACACAGGGGACCAAGTTTTCCATACATGAACCCCTGGGAGACACCCTCAAACCAAACCCAACCATAGCAGCAGCCGCTTTTTGCTATTGCCATGGATTGCAATTATGCCACTCCCATGCCCTGGGCGAGCGGAGTCTACTCCCACACACTGAGCCCCATTCACTGAAAGCTGTCCATGCAGGAGAAGCAGACCTGAGGGTGGCCACCCACAGGGGTGTGCACCAGTCTAGCTGCCATGCACCGAGGCCTGGGCAGCCAATCCCTGCATGCTGCAGGCCTCCTCCCAGATGATGGAAGATCACTCCAAGTCCTACACAGACTTCTTTGTCCCTAAGCCAGTCCTGGCAAAATGTCATAAGCTTGGGCCTATGAAGATATGAAAAGTGTCAAAATAACACAATTGTCCCACTGAAGAATAAAATAACCTAATCCCATAAGCATAGCCAGTCCTCACTGAACAGATGACTATGAGATCTGTGTTCAAGACATGCCACATGTGTCAGTCAAGTAATGAGGATTAAACTGAAGGCTACAGAAATACCGCTCAACTCCTCGGAGCCACATCACACATTCAGTTCTTATCAAATACCCGTTTTTGCTCTTTGAACATTTTCAGTAGGGATGCTGTCAGTCTTCACCCGCAACCCCAGGTGTATCTGTAAAATCGTGGCTGCCACAGAGATCTTCCCAGCCACTCCTTTAAAGCCTGAAAAGACACCACCTACGACGTGGAGACAGAAACACCCAGGACTCTGCCCTGCTCTTGCCCGCATGCACCACGAGTTTCCTTCTGGAAAATGGTTGCACATTTCAGCCGAGTTCTGTGGGGGTAAGACAGACACAAGCAGCTACCAAAGCCCCTCCAGGAGGTGGATGCTCTTACATCCTGCTGCAAAGAGGTGTCCTGCTCAGAGCTGAAGAGCTTACCGCTCAGCACCCTCAGCACACACACGCAACCTTCCCAGCAAAGGCTGGGTGCCAAGGACTAAATGGAGGACAAGAGGATGTGAGCAGAAGCCCTTCCACACCCAGATCCTTCAGGACATCAACCCAAGGAGTGCACTGGGGTTTCTGCTCCCTGCCAAGGTCCTGGTGGCAGCTGAGCGCCGAGCCTCTGGACATCCGATCACCTGGCCTGCAGGAGAAAAAAAATGCTCTGTGTTCCTGACTCCACGACACTGAGGTGTTCTTCTCTGATTCCTGTTGTTTTTCAATCACAGAAAATGGCACTTAGTCACGAACTCTCGGATGGCTTGTGGCACATGGCTCTGAACCTAGAATGGCATCTGTGTGCCAGGCAGGGAAATCAGAGACAAGGCAGGTGGAAGTCGGCGCCAGAGTATGAGGAAGGAAGTAGCAAGAAGGAAAACTTCCTGGGAGAGAAGAAACGCAGCCTCCGTCCACACCAGCACAGATGTCTGGCACCTCAAACCACAGAACTCTCATACCCCAAACATAAGTTTGCTGCATCATGAGTTATTTAAATTTCCCACATGAAAAAAAAATGTATAAATATAGATGTATGTGTATTTGTATACTTTAGGGCTGGCTTAATAAATAAAAACAAGAAGTTCTGGGAATAATACCCATTAAGAGCATCCTCTGGGGCAGCGGGTTAAGCCACCACCTGCAATGCTGGCATCCCAAATGGGCACTGGTGTGAGTCCCAGGTGCTCCATCTCTGACCCAGCTCCTTGCTATTGCATCTTGGAAAGCAGCAACAGACAGACCAAGTCCTAGGGCCCCTGCACCCACACGGGAGACTCAGATTAGTTCCTGGCTCCTGGTTCCTGGCTCCTAGCTCTAGCCTGACCCAGCCCCAGCCCCTGAGGCCATCTGGGGAGTGAACCAATAAATGAAAGTGCTGTGTGTGTATGTGTATGTGTGTGTGTGTGTCCCTCTCTCTGAAACTCTCCTTTCAAATAAATAAGTAAATCTTAGAGTATCCTTGACATGCTCCTCCTCATTCCAGATAGTACCAGTCAAGAGTCAGACCCCACTCCTAACACACATTAACGATGTAATCCCAATCTGTGTCTTCATGAATAAAGCCACACCCATTCGCCACGTCCAAGAGAAGTAACAGTAACTATACTGTGCTGGGTTACATTCGGTGACCTTGAGATGAACAAGGCTCTGACCTATGGCTGTGATTAGTCTCAACATTTTGGTAGCTTATCTGAAATTCGCATATCAGAGTCTGTGACGCTTTTTAACATGATCCCTAACCTTGAGGTCCTTCTGTTTGGAGTCTTTTTCCATAATATTGTTTGGAGAGGCAATTTCCACCTCTCAATTTGCACCTCTCTTTCGTCTATTGAAATGGGAAGTGCTGTTTTTCAAGATTCCAAATCAATGATGATTAGCAAATAAAAGTGCAGTTCAGAAAAGAAAAGATGTCCTGAGATGCGGCTCTTCCAATTCCTGCATCTCATAGCCAAGTGGTGTTTCAAGTCCCGGCTGATCTGCTTCAGATTCAGCTCCTTCCTAATGTGCATGGGAAAGCATCAGAAGATGGTCCAAGTACTTGGGCACCTACCATCCACGTGGTAAACCTGGATGGAGTTCCAGGCTCCTGGCTTCAGCCTGGCCCAGCCCTGGCTGTTGTGGCCATTTTCGGGGAGAACTAGCAGATGGAAGAGCTCTTTCTCTCTCTCTCTCTCTCTCTCTCTCTCTCTCTCTCTCTCTCTCTCTCAGTCACTCTGCCTTTCAAATAAATAAATGTTTAAAAATATCATTTTCCAGCTCTCCTCCTAGGTGTGGTTGAGCTCAGATGGCCTCAATTCTGTAACTGAGGATGGCCCAGCAGCACAGAGATGCGTCTCAGGTGTTCAAATCTTCTCCCTGGACCCCAGCCCAGCCCTAACACCCTCCTGAACAACAGGTGGCAGTAAAGAGACACATTCTGCACAAGCTAATTAAAGAAGTGTTCTGTTTCAGGTGGGGTTGTACACATGCTGCTTAAAATAAAGGTCTGGGTAGCAAAAAAAAAAAAAAAAAAAAAAAAAAACCTAATTCAGGTTCCTCTGCACATGCTGTTCAGTTCCCACGTACGATGCACCTAGGCAGAGATCCTCTGCCCACCACCCCCGCCTCCTATTTAAAGAACTCACCTTATGACAGACTTTCCTAACTGCAGAACCTCAGATTCTGCACTTAACATACCTCCAACCAGTGACTCCCCCACCCGCTGCCTGCAGGCGTGCACACACACACACACACACACACTGACACATGTAAGAGCCTGAGCTTGTTGAAAGCACACAGATTCCAAAGCAGCAAAGCCAAGGGGTGCTTTGTGAGAAAGATGCCATATTACGGGAACATTTGGTTTCTGAACTGCCTTAAAACGGTGACCTTTTTTCTATTGCCAAATAAACATGCTGCAAGCTGCACTGCTGTAGAACAAAAGTACCATCCAACGGCTGATCACACTGATCAAAGAGCTGTCTTTTAGGTCCTTTTGTCATGCTGACCAGAAAAGGCATAAAGCCATTTGTTTGAATTCTGAGCAGGAACTAGCCCACTCTGCATTAAATGCACATAAAAAAAAAAATCTTTCCAGAGTGCACGGCACACAGCTTTTCTCTGAAAAGACAGAAAATGGGTGGTGGTGGTGGGGCGTGGCGGGGGTTGAGATTTAATAAAACACCAAGTTCCAGGGAATCTACATGACTAATTTTGTATAAAAAAATACTGAAGACGTCTGTTCCAGTGGGAGCCATCCCCAACCATTAGTAGTTGCAAACATTAGTCATGAAAGCATGGAAAATACAATCTGTAGCTCATCTAGTACATTTTGCCCAAAAATACAATCTATGGAACTTGGCATCGCCCGTTCTGCTCCTGCTGTTGCAGCGCGTGGCTGATGACGCAGTCAGATTGACAAGGCAAGTCAGCCAAGCTGTACTGATTCATCCAATTCACTGGGCAAGCAGCTCTCTGGAAGCGGCCCCCTCATGAAGCAGGAGCACACAGACAACACTTTTTTTCCTCTCCTCACTCTCTTGAATCGGTAAGCTTGTGGATCTGCATGGCTTCTGATACTACAGATCCAAGTAAAACAAAGAAACCCTTAAAGAGCAAAGAACATGTGCAAGCGAAGCCAAACAACTACGTTGCCCTCCTTCCCTCACTGACCGGATAACCAGCAAGGACTTTTTCTCACTGCTCCATGTGAATTCTCTTGTGCAATTCTCACAATGTCTATGTTGAGATTTTTCCAGCACTCACCACTGAGGCCCAATCATTCACGTCCTCTAAAAGTTCCACACCTCAGTATCCACCTATGCCCAGTGAGGCAGGTGCCAAGCCAGGAATCTAGGAGTCACCCTTACTTACTCTACATACGTTCCCAGAGTGAGTCAAACAATGGCCAATTATCCGTGCTCCAGTCTGACCTAGGCAGGGAGGTAGCACTAGGAAAAGGTGCTGAGGTTTGACAGCACCATTCTGCCTCCATGCCCACTGCAGCTCTGCCCACCTGGCCCTGCATAGCAGCCCCAGCCCCACATAGCAGCCCTGGGTGACCCATGACACAGCTGGGCTTACGCTGCTTAAACTGTTCTCCTACCCTGTGCACCACCCAAACCTTCCTTCCTTGCACTGCCTGAACCTCCCTCTCCATGCACCGCCAATCACCACCCCCATCCCAAGTAATGGACAACCATAGTCTCTGCTATTTTTCAACTTAGAACCAGCACCAGATAGAAAAATGCCCAATATGGCTGCAGGTGGTATCCCCACGATGATGTTTAGGTCATTATAACGTCATTAAAATAAAATTGCCGTGGCTGACACTCCCACTCCTATCTGCACCTGATGTCAAGGCACTTTTCAGTTTTCCAAAAGGGGCAAGGAAACTGGAGGTACTCAAGTCCCCCTGCAAATGCCACACCCTCTGAGTACTCAACGGAGCCCCACTCCAGACACCGCCCCCTAATCCTCCAGATCATAGAGAAGGGTGACCCTTGTGGGTTGCATTGCTTTCCCTGCCATTCTTGCCCACTCCTTCCTGGGTGTTTACTTTAGCTTTAAATAAATCTTGCTTTTCTACTCACCTTTACCTATGTCTTTTCCTTGAATTCCTTGTCACGTGGAGATAAGAAACTGAACCAAAGCTAACCAGGGGCCCTCCTTCAAAAAAAGTTTGTAAAAAGACCACCTGGCTAAGCAACTGCTACTCACCCTCCCAGCCTTACGAAGGCATCCACTCCTCTACAGAACCCTCTCTCCCTCCCCATCCCTGAGTGAAATCCTATGTCTGGGCATTTCCACGATTCCCATGCTCACCTCCATCACAGCTAAACTCCAAGGCGTCCCGATTGTCTCGTTACACGTCTGCCTTCTCAGGAAGCTGTGAGTGCTTTGAAGGGTGTACCTGTATTTTCCCTCTTTCCAATATGAGCCTACTCCAGACACTTGGCAGATGGATAGAGGGATGGGTGTAGGTGCACGGATAGTTAGGAGCCCTCCCGAGAAGACCTGGGCTCCCTCTTCTTGTCCTACACAATTTGCTCAGGACATCAGTTCAAATCACATCTATCACGAGGATGTTCTTAGGCATTTTCCTTGGATGATTCTTAAGAACAGACTATTTTTAAAGAGAATTCAATATTCATTCAAAGACTGTAAGTCCCTGAACACCAACTCTTGGAGGAAAATTTCAAGGAAACAGCTCAAAATAATGAAAGAGCTTGTTGTAGAGGGTGGACCACATTTAAATTCCAATCGAGCAGGCTGCGATACCGCCCCCATTTCCATGTCTTTATGCAGCCACAGATGTAGCTCTGCTCCAGTCTAAAAAGCCTGGCTTGAATTCCTCCAGGTGGAACATGCCTGTCTCAGTAATTAGAGGCACTTGGTCTACTGAGATTAATGGCCTCTCCTTGGATGTGGAACGATAAAAGCCCCAAGAGAAGGGAACAAAAACTTTCACGAGCAGAAACACGCCATTTCTCATCACACTCTCCTGAGCACTTAAAATACCAGCCACCGTTCCAGGTCGCTGACTTACCCAGGGTCCAGGGAGGGCTACCAGATGAATACAGGATATGCAATTAAATGTGTTTCGGGTAAACAACAAGTAAGTTGTGTGCATACATTCCCCATGAAATATGTGGACCATATTTGTCTTAAAATATGCATTGTTTATCTAAAATGCAGATTTTAATGAGCACCCTGTATTTTTATTTACTAAATCAGCCTCTGATTCCAGGGTGCACGGCTACATCCGTGTCTCATCAGAGGTCCCCGTGCAAACAGGCATCTCGCTGTGAGCTAAAACACCAGCGCTGCGCTTGCCTGTCTGCCAAGTGGAAGGTGATTGTTCGTGGTGCTCTGTCCAAGATGATCAGCCCCCAGGGAGGCCACAGCTCTTCCTGACTCCTGCTCAGCCTTGCTAACCCAGCTGGAGCGCAGCAAATCCAGATGTGTCTGCTGATGTCTCCTCCCTGAATTCTCCCAAACCCATCAATCAGAAACCCTGTAAAAATGAAAATCACGACACCCAGTGTGCACAGCCCCAGGGAAATGGAGGCATGGTCTAGACAAGACTTTGGATCATCACCTGGGGCCTCACGATAGCACTTCCAGACACCGCACGTCCCACGGGTCCATGTTGTACTCTTTGGCTCCAGGTTCCAACATACAAGGCTTTCAGCAGGGTGAGGCAGAAGAGGCACCTTAGGTGGGAGGTCTAAGGAGGCAGGAGTCCCACAGGTACGCAGGTGCACAGTGAGTGCCGGCTGCCACGATGCATCCCCGGTGCCTGGCTCAGTCCAGCCCTGAAAACGCGGGCCATCTCTACTTCAGCCTGGGTCCTTTGGGAAACAACGAACGTCCTTCGCACGTGAGCTCATCCTTGACCCCAGGGGAGTGGGTACTCACCTCTTAGGGCTGGGGGCTGACACAACAGAGACGGAGTGCTCTGAGGCCCTGGCGGCTGAACGTGTCACATCCAGGGGCGCCATCAAGGTTAGGTCCCTCGCAGAGCCCTAAGTGGGAACCCCATCCTATGCCCGCCCCTGGCTTCTGCAGGTGTGCCAGCATTCTTGGCCATTCCTTGGCTTGTGGATGCCTGCTTTCATCTTCACGCTGGGTGCCTGCCTATCTCCAGGTTTAATTTACTAAAATTAACACACCAAACTGAATTGGGGCTCACCCTAATGACCCCATTTTAATTACCTCTTTCAAGACCTTTTTTCCAAAGAAGGTCCCACACTTAAGTATTAAGATATCAGGGAATCAGAACACGACTTTGGGGACACAACTCCACCCCTAGCAGAGCACCACTGCACCGACCAGACAGGAACTCTTCTGTGGGTTCTTGCAGCCCCCTGAGTGGTGACTGTCCCCTCAAACTTAACCTAAATGTGTATCCCTTTAGCCCTGAACACTTCTCACCACCTGGTTATTTATCAGCACCATCACCGACACCCGTATTCCCTCTGCACTCAGGACACAGCGCCAGTCCTGGCCCTCATGCCCGCAGCACCAGGTTGTGCTGGGCAGGAGCCTGAAACCCTCTGTGCAGCATCCCAGGACGAGGTGCCCTAACGACCTGTCTGCTCTAACCTTTCTCTGCCTGTTTCATCATAAGCATCACTTCAGGAGGAAATGGGGTAGAAGTCCCGAAATCTCCAACTCCAGAGGGTATCCTTTTTCCACAAAGAACTCCAGGTAGGGAATGAGGGAGATCTGCACCTGCAATGCCACGGGGCCTCTTAAGGAGGCCTGGGAGGGAGGTCTGGGGCCGCAGGGGCCAACTGAGGATGCTTCCTTCCCCCATGCCCCACGTGGCCTCTAAACCAGGGAGGGGGCATCCCAGGAGAGCAGGACGAGGTGTGAAGGTTGGGGAGGGGGGTGGAAGAACTGGTGGGGGTACATCAGACTCCTGAAGACAGCCGTGGCCCTGAGGCGTCACCAGGGAGGGTCTGGTTCTTTGTGGAACGGCTGTGTGACCTTGACCTTAACCTCCCGAACCCCACTTTCCCCACTTATAAAGTGGGGTCTCAGTAGCAGCCTAGCAGGCTTGTGGGAGGCACACTGCCCACACCCAGTGCACCTGCTCCGCTGGAGCGCCACAGGCTCCCCGACGGGCTTTGCCAGAGAGGCCAGACCCTGCGGAGACGACGGGGTCTGCGCTGCTGCCCACGGGCTTCAGCGCAAGGGGCCGATCGCGTCAGCGAGGACGCGGGCCAGGATGCGGGACGCCCTTTCCAGGACGGCTGAGGCTGTGCACCATGCAGGCCCAGGTCCCGCAAGCAGGTGTTTCCCCGGCCGCCGCTAGGTGGCGCCGCGCGGCCAGAAGCCCGAGGCGTTGGCCGGGTGTTCGGCGGCGCCCGCAGGGGGCGCTTCCCGCGGGGCGGCTCGGGGCCGCGCTGCGCGCTCCCCCCATCATTTATCCTCTGTGACACTCAGTACCCCCCTTCCGTATTCCTCCCCTGAGACTCTCAGGGCCAATCTGGGCACGAGACCGTTGGACTCACGCCATCAGTTTTCCCTCCGTTAAAATGGGATTTCCAGGGATGACTCCGAACCTCCGCGGGGAGCGCGTGCCAAGTGCCACCGAGACGGAAGGGCCGGGCCGGTGCCGCTGGCCGCCCCGCACCGAAAATCCGGGACTCGCCCGGGCGCCTGCGAGAGCAAACCCGCACCCCCGCGCCGCGGAACCGCTCCCCGCGAGCACAGCCGCGCGGCCCTTGCTGGGGCCGGGGGCGGGGGCGCGAACCTCAGACGCCGCGGCGCCCGTCCCGGGCTGGAACGTTCTGGAATGGGGCCGCGCGTGGGGCCGGCCCTCCTCTGAGGGAGGAGCGACCAGGGCGCACCTGCGGGCGGCCGCCCGGGCGCGGGAGCGCGGAGGTCCCGGCGGTGCGCTGCTCAGATTCCGCTCAGCGAGCTTTGTGCTCGAGGTTCCAGCTAAGGGACTGCCCAGATCCTCAGGACGCTTGCGTTCTCTCCTTAGAACCTTCATTTGTCAGGCCGCTGAAATGACGCCTGTTGCTTACGCTAATTGCCGCGAGTCAGTGCTGATTCATTAGTGGCATAAAAATAATGAGGGAGCAAGGCAGCGATTCCCCCCAGAGTGGTTTCCCAGGTCCAGACGCAAGGAGGGACGCATCCAAGCCCGGCCGCCCTGGGCCCCTGCAGGCAGGAGGCGGCCCTGGTGCCTCGCCCCCGGCCTCTGCCCTCGGAAGCGCTCTTTCCCCGTGCTGGCCCTAGGCCGGGCTGCGTCCTGCTGTTCCCGCTCCTGGAGAAGATCTGAGTTTGGACACTTTTCACACATCCCCGGGACCAGACACTGCAGAGACGGGGGTGCTGCGCCCAGGAGCCAGGAGCACGGAGACAAAGACGTGGTCAGTGCGGGGGCAGGGGGTGCTCCTGACACAATCCTTGGCTGAGGGAACAAGTGAAACCCAAGCCCAAAGGCACAGACCCCAGAGCAGGGTGTGGGAGGGGCCTTCCACTGGCCCAAGAGCTGCCTTCTGTGCCCTGATCTTGAACACCTGGTGGTGAAGAATTTTCCATGAAATATTTTGGAATGGCAGTTCCCCACAGGTAACCTCTCAAACCCAAGAAAATGGAATCACAGAGGAGGCACGACTACTGCCGTTTTCTTTAAAGTCTAAGTTTACAGAACTTTATGCAGAAAAAAATAGAATTGCAAGGAAAGTTATCAAAATGTTTGAAACTATTACCTTTGACAAATGAAATCCAGTGGACTTTGCTTTCCCCCACTTTTTCTACTCACTCACATTTGTTTCTAAACTACCTGCTGTTTTCATAATCAGGAAAAGTGCAATTGTCTTGGAAATGGCCTCAGAGCAGGGGTCCCAGGTACGGCATGGGCCCAGCAAGTTTGGAAAGACTCTGTAAAGGTGGGGGAGGGAGATGGCCCATCCCATACAAGCTCCCATCAAGATTTTCAATGATTCATAACAAACCTTCCCTCCTACATTGTATTTGTTTCACCCACTTGATGTTGTTACCAGCTTTTTGGTTTCTTTTTCTTTCTTAAGGTTTCCAATCACTTGAAGTGGAGATTTTTGCCATCAGACTACATCAATGACCAGTGATGGTGTGGGAACCACTCAGCCCGGCAGAGGGGCTGGGGTTCAGAGTCCCCCGGCGCAGAAGAGGCTGCTGGGGCAGGTGTCTGAGACTTCTGTGTGAGCTCAGGGGGAAAGCCTCGTGGGTGCCGGGCACGTGTTCACCAAGGGCGTTTACCATAGCTCTGCACGTGGCTTCAGGCTGCTTGGAGCTCTCATAGGAGACTGGCAGGGCGGGGCCTTCTGCTCACCTCATGCCCTCCCCAGCCATCCCATCAGTTTTGAAAGGCAGGATATGAAATTTGGGTCTTAGCCAGAACTGCTACAAAACCAGTAATGCTACTAAGGTCCATGGGAATACACAGATACATTATGTTCTAAAGATTTATGTATTTACTCCTTATAAATAGGATAAAGACACAGGGAGAGAGAGAGAGAGAGAGAGAGAGACTTTCCATGTACTCGTTCACTCCCCAAATGGCTGCAATAGCTGTGGCAGGCCAGGCTGAAGCCGAGGAGCTAGGAGCCTGGAACTCCATCCAAGTGTGTCTCATGTAGGTGATGGCAACCCAAGTACTTAAGCCATGATCTGTAGCTTTCCAGGTGCTGTAGCAGGAAGCTGGCTCAGAAGCTGAGTAGCGGGGTCAGCGCTGTGGCATAGTAGGCTAAGCCACTACCTATTGTGCCAGCATCCCATATGGGCACCGGTTTGAGTCCTGCTACTCTACTGCTCATCCAGCTCTCTGCTATGGCCTGGGAAAGCAGAAGACGGCCCAACTCTTTGGGCCCCTGCACCCATGTGGGAGACCCGGAAGAAGCTCCTGGCTCCCGGCTTCGGATTGGTGCAGCTCAGGCCATTGTGGCCATTTGGGAAGTGAACCAGTGGATGGAAGACCTCTCTCTCTCTACGTCTGCCTCTCTATAACTCTGCATTTCAAATAAATAAATAACATCTTTTAAAAGGGCAGCAGCAGCAGAGTAGCTGGAATAGATGGGACTCTAACTGGCACTCTGATGTGGGAGGTGGAAATCCCAACCTGTCGCTTCACCCGCTGAGCCATAATGCCCACCCCACATTACCATTCTAAAGGTGCCTCTATAAACTGCTGGTCCATGGGGTGCACTGCAGACCATCGGGCCTTGTATTTGCACATCTCATTGTGTCCCTGTGCCTGCAGTAAGAAGATAAAGAGGTGGTACAAGCCTGTTTTACAAATAAGGAAAATGACATAGAAAGTAGGTGAATGGGGCCGGCACTATGGCACAGAGAGTTAACGCCCTGGCCTGCAGTGCTGGCATCCCATATGGGCACCAGTTGGAGACCCGGCTGCTCCACTTTCAATCCAGCTCTCTGCTGTGGCCTGGGAAAGCAGTAGAAGATGGCCAAGTCCCTGGGCCCCTGCACCCACGTGACCATTGCAGCCAATTGTGGAGTGAACCAGCAAATGGAAAACCTCTCTCTCTCTATCTATCTCTATCTCTATCTCTATCTCTATCTCTATCTCTATCTCTATCTCTCTCTGCCTCTCCTTCTCTCTGTGTAACCCTGAATTTCAAATAAACAAATAAATATTTCTTTTAAAAAAAAGAAAGTAGGTGAATGGAGCAAAGAAAGCCGCATGACTGTTGGTTCCAGAGCCAGTGCAGAGCCCAGCCATGGATTCCACATCCAGGGCTCTCCACTGCACCATACAAGTTTCATGGGTCAGGCACGGGGATCACAGAGCATCGTCGTTTGCTCGTGGTTGCGAGCGCAGTGCTGTCTGTTGACTGCAGCAGGACACTTCTTCTATTTGAGCTCCTTCATGCCTTGGGTTCAGAGCTTCTCTGAAGCAGGACAGGGCACACCTACTGAGGACTCAGACAGGCAGTCTTTGAGAGGCTCTCATGAAAATGACAGCAGCAGATTCTTTCCAAATACCAGTCCCTATCTTCTTTCCCAGTAACATAACTGATTCAGAGCCAGTGATATTGTCTCTCGGCAAAGACTGTTTCCCAGCTTAGTTTGTAGCTGGATGTGTGCAGTATTCAGGAAAGCAAGCTCTGAATCATGAGGTAGAAGCTGACATTATGGGGGACAATTATGATGAATCTCCATTAAGGAGAGACAAACAGCTCTGCATTCTTTCTGCTATTATTCTCTCCTTCCTGTTTCAAAGACGGATTGTGGCTGAAATGGTTAGGGCTCCAGCAGCCACCTCGGATGGTGGAGAAAGCTTGGGTATGAAAGCCAAGGACAATCAATGGTGGCATCACCTAGAGGGAGCCTTAGGAGCTTCACACCAGCTCTTAGGGCCTTTCTGTAGACTGGGATGCGAGACGAAAATATCTTTGACCTTATTGTTTAGCTTCTGCTATGGGCAGCCAAACACAACTTCTGATACATGAAACAAGATCAAGATATCACTGACTTACTAGAGTGTAAGGGCTCATTGTCTGGGACTAATACCATGGGAGGAAATGTTAGATTGGGGGGGGGGGGTTACAGGAGTCATGGATCCAAGAAATCTGGAAATTTCCTCCAGAGGAGTAAAATCTCTGGTTAGAACTAAGGATTTGCTCGATGTGGCCCCACTGTAAGGGGAGAGGACTGTGTACTGAGAAAAGGAGCCACAGGGAGAGGCCCCTGGGGTAGGTAAAGTTCATCACAAGACTCAGAGAGAGCTACTGAGCAAGAAAAAAAAATCATTATAAACATCCCTCTGGCTACTATGCCAAGAAGGAACTCAAAAGGCAAGTCTGAAAGCAGAGGACCATCTGAGGCTGTTAGAGGAATGCAGGTGAGACACCTGGGCACCCTGGACCTGGCAGGTGCTTGCAGTGGGAAGGAGTGAAAGGATGGACTTGCATGATAGAGGCAGAAGCAGTTGGCAGGCTGTGGAATGGGAAGGTCGAGAGACGGACTCCATTTGCTAGCTCGAGCCAATTTTAGAACAAGAGAGTCAGCTTGGCTTGTGTCAGGTCGTCCCCAAAGCCACTGCAAAAGCGTGTATTTCATAGGGACAGCTTAGTTTTCTAATCTCATCTGTGGGCATGGCAATGGGTCAGCCCCTGCTGAAAACATGTAACCAAGGCCTTTTTCCATCTACAAAGATAACTTTATATTATTATGGGGTTAACATTTAATGGGCGTTAACTTGTGGAGAAAACTTTCATGCTTCATGTGAAGGTTAAAAAGTGGTGAGTGGATTTGTAGCTAGCTGGGTAAGGACATGCCAGTTATCTTACAGAAAAGTGATCCAACTATGCTTACAGTCCAAATCCTGTAACAGCAATGCTCATAGCAATGCTGCCAGCCACAACTCTCACAGGTGATTTGGGGAAATGCTCTGAAATTGAGTGCATACGTATGCTGGGGCAGCAAGAAAGAACAGCCTGGAAATTAAAAAGCAAGCAAACAAACAAACAAAAAAACACCTGGCTAGAGGAGAGCAGCCTCACCTTGCATCCCCAAGGTTTGCTGAAGCCACCGTGTGCATGCAGTTAGACTGGCTGCCATAGGAGGGCAGTCTAACACGACACCAGCAGAACCAGCGCTGCTCCAAGCCGGCTCTCACAAATTGCCCAGGGCTTGGAGGACCAACACCCACAAGGCCCTTGAGGGAATTCTCTCACAGTGGAAAGAGCGCAGAATATGGGCTGGGGGATGCGCTGTTTCACCCAGGGACTGCCGTGGAGTTTACAAGAGGGATCAGAAGTGACCCAAACATCCAACGTAAAGAGGCAGCCAAGGAGATTATGAGAACTGTAAACTCCTAGGCTTTGTTTCATTTAAAAAGACAGAGACAGGTGGTGTTTTTGTTTTAAATGCTGGATACAAGGTGCCGTGTATGAGCACTACATTTATTTAAATATACAATTAAAACTAAATTACCATGGGAAATAGAAGCAGAAAAGATAAATGTTGTACACCTGGAAAACAGCACAAAGACAGCAATCACCACACAGTAGACGCAAGTCAGAAGCAAGAGCAAGACAAGTAAATTAGAAGGGAAAACGTCAAGCACCTACAAAAATCTTAACTCAGCAGTTCAATAATTCCCATTTTTTGGTAAAAGCAGAATATCAAGGAAAAATATGTTTACTTTAGATTCATGACATTAAAAGCCTACATGAGCCAATAAGGAAAACCTGAATGAAACATTCAATTGAAAAAAAACAATAATAAAATAAACCCACATAACAGATGAAAGAAGATAAAGATTAGGGAAAGAATGAGGAAAATACAAAACAGGAAAAAAAGGAAATGGAGTACTTTCTAGAAAAATACAAAGTAAAATAATGGACGCCAGAATAGGGAGAAAAATACATAAAACAAATTGAAAAAATAGAAAATAACCCTAGCATATGTATTTAGCGCTGTACCCCTGCTATATGAAACTCTGTAATTTATTAAAAGAATAAAGTTGTTTTGAATAAGGAAAATTTTTAAAGAAAAGAAGACTCAGAAGAGTAGATGTAGTGTGAAGGCTCTTACAGACATGCCCTATTAGGTTTATGATGTCAAGGAGCTGTTATCATTGGGATGGTGAGGTGCCCTAGTTCATACTGAGACTTGAACCAGATTTTCTGGATTCAAATCCTAGTTACACCCACCTTCCAGCTGTGTGACTATCAGCGGTTTCCTTAGCTTACTTGTGCCTCAGTTTCATCATCAATGAAATGGCAACAATAATAGTCCCCAACTCATAGAGCTACAGAGAGTTCAGGGGTTAATTCATACAAAGTGCTGTATGCAGACCAGTGTCTGGTCTCATGCTGAATGCCTACTAAATATTAGGTGTGGTCAGTATCTCATCTGTGTGCCTATGTGAATATAGTCAATTCTTGCCATCTGTGGGAGATTGGCTCCACGACCTCACAGATACCATATCCTGTGGATAGGCAAGTACCTCAGATAAAATGCTGCAGTCTAACACATACTCATCCTCTTGTATGCTGCAAATCTCTCTAGATTACTTATGACACTTAATAGAAATGGTATGTAAATAGCTGTTGTACTATATTATAATGATGGAGAAAGTCTGTAATTTTCAGTCTAGAGGTAACTTACATTTTAATATTTTCTATGTGACATTGGTTGAATCTATGTATGCAGAACCCTTGGATATGGAGGCTGGATATATACTTGTGTTTTTTTCTCCCAAAAGGAATACTAATAAAGCAGTTCCAGCAATTGTCCTTGGGAAATTGGTGGGGGGAAAGTTGGGGACACGTGGTGGAGGATGCTCCAACTCCAAGGGAGGCAGCCTTCTACTTCTACTTGTTCCCCACTGACTAATGAACGTCCCAAACACCCATGATCGCACACATTATGTGGGCAAGAGAAATCGTGGGACAGTTCCTTTCCTTTCCATTCTCCTCTGATTTAAAAAAAAAAAAATGTATTTTACATAGCGTATCCCTGTCAGCACCACTATGTGAAACAGATGTAGCTGGCATGTCTCCAGAGGGATATTTGCCTAATCTAGAAATGGATCACTGTATCACTTCTAGCAGTATCAATGTTGTCACACTTCATGTATGATTATGCAACTTCATTTTATCAATTAAAAATATGACTGAGAGGGGGGGCATTTAGCCTAGCATTTAAGATGGCCACATCCCATATCAGAGTGCTAGAGTTTTATTCCAGGATCCAGCTTTTGATTCCAGCTTCTTCCTACTGCAGACCCTGAGAGGCACTGATGATGACTCAAATGATGAAGGTCCTACTACCCTAGGAAACTTGGAATGTGGTCCTACCTCCAGACTTCCATCTGGCCAAGTCCCAGCTGGCCACTGCAATCCTTTGGGAGTGAGCAAGTGGATGGAAGTTCTCTCTCTCCCTCTGTATCTCTATCTCTATCTCTATCTCCCTATATCTATCTTTTTCAAGTAAATAAATTTTAAAAATGTCTTTGACAAATAAATTTCTGTATCAATACACAAATATCCACCTTACTTGTTAAAGTTGCATAGATTTCTCAGATGTGTTTGTGGTCATTTGTGTAACTGTTTTCCTATTCAGGAACATTGTTTGTTCCCAAGTTTTCACTATTGCCATCAACACTACAACCTTCACCTTTCCACATACCTATTTTTCTGTTTTTATCTATTATGTGTGTTTTTATGATGTTGTGTTACATCTGTAATATGAAATCATCTTTAAACCAAGAGCACAGGCAAGGAGAACATTGATTTGATTCCCAAACCCAAGAATTCTAGAGTGTACTTCATCCCTCAAAGCATGCAAGGAAGTATCAGGTACATGGAAACGTGGATGGCCAAACAGGAGCAAACCCTACAAACTATGAAGCTTGCAGTTCCCCTCAGGACACTGTTAGAAAGTACAAACATAAACCCGTGATTAGCAAGTGCTCAGATGTCACTGCATCCACCTCACAGTGGCATGTGTAGGGGCAAACTGCATTGAAACATCAAGGGCAAACACATCTCTTGGTACAGTTCCCAATGATAGAATGACTGTTGGACTCAAGGATTGTGGCCTGGGCAGGTGTGCCCAATTTGTGTTCTGACTACCCTCATTACAACCAATGACAACCCTTTGCAAATACCTCCCTTCATTTATTTATCTTGTCTGTTTTCTAATAGGGTTACTGTTTCATGAGAAAATACCCACAATCAATTAAAGGTTATTTTTAGATTTATGTATTTGTTTATTTGAAAGGCAGAGTAGCAGAGAGAGAGAGAGAGAGAGGCCTTTCATCCACTGGTCCACTTTCCAAATGGCTGCAACAACTGGGGCTGGGCCAGGCCAATGCCAGGAGCCAAGATCCAGGAGCTTGGGTACAGGGGCCCAAGCACTTGGGCCATCTTTCCGCTGCCTTCCTGGGTGAATCAGTAGGGAGCTGGATGGGAAGCAGAGCCTCTGGAACTCAAACAGGCATCACATGGCCTGGCTTCACGTGCTGTGCCATAACATCAACCCCTCAAATAGCTTTTTAGGTAAAAAGTGAAATACTATTTTTGTACCTCCTGATTTTCCTTCTCTGATCTTATGTATAAGCCACCGCAAGCCCTGTATTATTTATCAAAGCCAAAGTCCATTGTAGCAGCAGAAATCACTGCCAAATCGACAGCCTATGGAAGACACTGTCCAGACTCTTCGTGGGGCGAGGTGTCCCTTGGTGAGCTCCTGTGTCAGCAAAGCTGAGACACGGGGAGGTTGCGGTGGCCCCATTAAGTACCAGAGCAGAGCGAGTTGTTTTGTTTCATGAAACTACAGTGTGATCCTCTTCTGAACAGACAGTTTGATTTAGGAGAAAAAAGAAAGCAATTTGGCCATTCTTGTTCAAATTGTCACACTCACTGAAGAAGAAAATAAAATGAATGCATTCTGCTTAACCTCATGGTTGCAGGGTACAATATTGCAACAGGAATATCTGGAAAAGAAAAAAAGCCCACAGAAGTACAGTTTCTAGGAGACAAGTTTGTGGAAAATGCTAAGACCAAAAAGGAAGCATTGAATAAATTTCAGCTACTTATAAGAGTTGATTTTTTTTATCTATAGAATTTTCAGGTGGCCTGGGAAAGAAACAGTCATGTTGCATTGCTCTGGCAGGTTAATCTGAAAATTCCATTTTAAGCATGTGACCCTTTTACTGAAACCCCCTGTGACAACACCGACCACATCAGCTGGTTGCAAGCTCATTTCTGCCTTCAGACTACTCATGTCTCTCACACCTTCCTGTGTAGTTGGATTGGATCATCCATCAGTGTTCTGTTCTTAGCTGATTTCTGTGCTTTCTCCTACCACGAGCCCTGAAAGAGTTAAAGCAAAGGGTGATAAGAATTCGGAAAATGTGCTAAACTCTGATTTGAAAAGCATTCCTCAAGTTAAGGCCTGCGACAGTTTGGATATGGGCATCTCTCTAAAGCTCATGTGTTGGAAGCTTGATCCCCAGTGTGACAGTATTAAAAGGTGAGGGGACCTTTAAGAGGCGGGACCTAATTGGGTGGTATTAGGCCATTGGGGTCATTGCCCTTGGAAGATCCTAAGATCCTTCTTTTGGGGTGCTGGTTAGTTTCTAAGAGGAGGCTGCAATAAGAGAGTAAGACCGGCCCCTCCCTATTCTCTTTGACTTCCACTCTCACATGTGCTCCCACCATGATGCCAGCCACCATGATGCGATGCACAAGGGCCCTCACCAAGCCAATGCCAGCACCATGTCTGTGAACCTCCAAAACTGTGGACTCTTTGCTTTAAAAAAAAAAATACTTACTTGAAAGGGAGGGAGGTGGGGATAAGAGAGACAAAGAGGTATCTTCCATTCCCTGGTTCACTCCCCAAATGGCTACAAAAGTCAGATCTGGACTAGGCCAAAGCCAGGAACCTGGAAATCCATTCAGGTCTCCCACATGAGTGGCAAGGGCCCAAGTACTCCAGCCATCTTCTGAGTTCCCAGGTGCATTAGTAGGGAGCCAGACCAAAGTGGATCAGCTGGGACCTCAACCATCACTACCCAGGCAGGAGCTTAAGCCACTGCACCACAGTGCCAGCTCCTAAACCTCTTTTCTTCATCCATTACCCAGCCCCAGGTACTTTCTTACAGCAATAGGAAGCAGGTAGTGTTACTGTCTGTTCCTCCTGTTCCCAAAGGCCATAGGATGAAGTGTTCTTGCTTGAACATAGTCTGACATCAACTTCTGTCCTTAAGCAATAGTATGCTGTTAACCATTGAGGGACGGATTATTCCAAATCCATGCCAACCTTGTTTCCTATGCCATCTTCTACTAGAGTCTGGGAAAACGAAAACTCAGCTTTCCCAGTTCCTAGGAAGTGTCATGTAACTCTGTTCTGACCTGTGAGATACAAAGGCAGCCTGCTAACCTCTTCAGAACCCTACTCCCACAGAACCTGCCTGGAACTCAGAGACAAAGGCTGACTGAGCTGTCACCTTCTTACAACCAAAATGGAGCTGCCGAGGAAATTCCTGAGCCTTAACTGCCCAGTTACTTGGGCTCCTTGTAATGTAAGTGAAACAACTTCCTATTTGTGCTACTTTAGATTTCTGTTACTCATAGCCAAATGTAATCCCTAGACTAGATGATAAAGGCCACAAAGATGACAGTCTCTCTGCAAAGACTTTATAGCATGTTACAGGAGGCATGTGTCTAACCAACTAAAATATCAAACAGATTGTTAAACGTCATGGATTGATAGAGGCAAAGGTCATACTACGGAAGCAGAAACAGAAAGGATGGAGAAGGCTTGGATCTTTTCTGTACAGAATGAGGAGATTCCTTCTAGGCAAGGAGGATCAGAAACCCTACACCAAAGACACAACATGAAGAGAAGAATGGTGGCCAGAAAGGTAATGTTCAAGAATACTCGTATAGGTGGGCCAGTGCCATGGCTCAGTGGCTAATCCTCCGCCTGTAGCGCCAGCACCCCGGGTTCTAGTCCTGGTTGGGGTGCCGGGTACTAGTTCCGGTGGCTCCTCTTCCAGTCCAACTCTGCTGTGGCCCGGGAGGGCAGCGGAGGATGGCCCAAGTGCTTGGGTCCCTGCACCCGCATGGGAGACTGGGAGGAAGTACCCGGATCCTGGCTTTGGATCGGCACAGCGCCAGCCATAGCGGCCATTAGGGGAGTGAATCAATGGAAGGAAGACCCTTCTCTCTGTCTCTCTCTCACTGTCTATAACTCTCTCTGTCTCTCTCTCTCTCTAACTCTGCTTGTCAAAAAATAAAAAAAAAAAAGAATACTCCTAGGTGGTTGGAGAACTGGACTGTGTTGAGTGAGAATAATGCTGTTGATCCTTTGATCTTGACATGGAAAACAGCTGTTTCAGCCATAGATGACCCTGAACTCTACCCCCTTCCTTCTGATGGCAGTATCATTCTCCATCTCATTGTCTTTGACAGCAAGAGGCCAGGTACAAATCATTAACTGTTACCCTACAAAGAAATAGAAAACAGTAGTTTTCAACAATTAATAATATAAAAATCTCAACAATTCTCTGTATACTAATGATTCTTGGCCAAAGGGGCTTTTTCCCTGCTGGGGGGCATGTGGCAATTTCAGGAAATATTTTGGATTGTCACAATTGGGTGTTACAACTGGAATCTATAGGTGGAGGACAAGGATGTTGGTAAACATTCTATAGGGCATACAATAGCCAGCTCCCAAGAGCAAAGAACCCCTGGGTCTCTAAAGTATCACAGTGCTGAGGTTCAGAAATCTTGCTTTTACATTATCTGATGGTGACCAGTGTAACCCCCAAGTGTGGCTTCCTCTCAAGAGTTGATTCAAGAGAAGTGAGGAAATGTCAACTTTTACTCATCATGGATCTGCCAATATATTTCCTTTTTCATTCTGAACAAAACTACATTGGCTAAAGCCACATAATAACTCTGTTTAATGCCGTTAGATGTCCATATAACATAGAAGTCCTTCTAACAAGGTACATGGTAATAAACATGGGTTGACTAGATGAATGAGGAAACAGACGCCCTTTAAACAGGGTTCAAAACATGTGCCTTTTACAGTGAAGTTTGCTGGGGGTGGTAGGATAAGGCTGGTTTATTCGCTGTTGAGAATTCTAAGCCTTTGCATGAAACAACCCAGCACATTCTTACCACAGTTCTAAAGGCCATATTTATCATTTCATTAAAAGGATAGCCCATGCCAGGAATAACAGTAAGTTACAAAAGTAGTTTTCTTAGAAAAAAACTTTTTAAAAAATCATATTGAACTACAATGGGATTCAGCCTTTGTTAAGAACCGTGTTTAGATCACAGATGGAATATTGAGAACTGTGCTAAATCACAGATGGTATATTTTTTCCTATATTTCACAAAACAGGCTATTTCTACCACATTTTTTCCTTTTCCCATTTTGCTCTTGGTAATCCTGTAGATTGAAAAAAATCAAACTAAAAAGAAACGTGGAAACATTTACTTTTAGTGCTGTTTATAATCTTACTCTTTAGTGGATGGATACATCACTGAATATTCTGTGGCATAATTTACTTTAAAAAAAACTTAGGGTGTAATTCATTTTAGGTGAGCAATTTGTTTTATGAGCCATGTATGTTTATTTGGGGTTGCGCTGGTTTTTTATTGGATGCAATAAAGACACTTCTTATCAATTGATTTGTTGTATCAGCAATGGGCTTCCTTCCAGAGTGAACCATGGCAGCTTTGCAGAGGACATTATCCAGCATATAATTTCACCACAGATATGAATCTGGGTTCATTAGGCCCCACTTGCACTGCCTATTATGACCTAATTTCTAGGATTCCTGCTGGATGGTGGCATTATCATTCCCCATGCAGAGTGCATAATATGGTTGTCAAATGGGTCCTCTCTCTTGGATGGTTCATCACATACACAACTTTGCATTGTGCCAACTTTTACACCAACTGATAAAATCAGAAGTTCAAAAGTTCACTTCCAATCACATGTGGCACAGAAACTTTAGCACATAAATAATCTACCTCTTGTGAATGATTAATAGCTGTGCAGGGCAGGAACCGGATGGGTTGATTACTGTTACGATGGTGTTAAAATACCTCCAGGAAACAATTCTTAATCCAGAAGTGGGTAAGTGCATTTCTGCTGCACATGGTGCAAGACACCAGCTTCCTATGAAGTCTGGGTCTGACGAGCACTGTCGTTTCAGGCTCAGCTGGCTTCCTGGGACTCCCAGACCACAGTATACCTTCCAAGTCCTGTTCCTAATGTTCTTATGTCAACACAGGATCAAACTCATTGACATTTTTCCAGTGTAAAAGATCACACCTCAAGAACTAAATGATGCTGGTGCAGATTTCACATAGGCACACAGCAGAATGTCTGGGGAGCATTGGTTTGCACTTCAGTAGTGTCATACATGAAACAGAACATAAGTGATAGACACCCACAGTAAGTAGAGTCAGAGATTTAACAGCTGTGCAAATGGGCTTGGGAATGTAAAATCAGGAAACTATGTCTTTATGAAAGTATTTTTTTAAATCCCCAGATATCACATCTGGTTGCATCAAGTTGTCATTATGACATAGTATTTAAGATGATTTAATGGGTTGCTGCAGAATGAGAATCTTGGAGTTTATTTAACTACCGTGCATTAACAGAATGTAGCTATTTAAACAATATTCTGACAGAGCAGATACAAAGATGTTCTTGGTGTTGTATAACTTTATTATACACTGTTTACTGTAGCCAGTATTCCTCTAGATATTCCAGCATAAACAGAATATATGGAAATGCAAGAGTGAAAGTGAGTCTTTGAGACAGAAATGTAAGGTGAGCAGTGCATACCAACACATAGGAAACTATTCTCCCTTGAAAATGTATGAGGTGTGTTGATGATGTACATACCTACGGGGCTGTCACAAGAAGAATGTGTCCATTACTCACACAGTTTTGACAGGGCTTCTGAAAGTTAATGGGTCAGCCCCCAACGAGATGGGTGAGGACGTTGGATCTGGAAAGCTCCTGGCCTTGCTCCCATTCACATCCTCACACTCTCCTCTCCACCTCCCCTGTCAACAAGAGACTCTGGCACTCCCCTCAGACGTGTGCATCATTTACTGAGAATCTATATAGTTAGAGCAACTTCAGACAACTTATATGGGAGCAACCCCAAAAAGGAACAAAGTCATATCCCACTGTGCTGTTCTATCTACCCCATCATCACACGCTGGCTGCACCAGGTCACCCCGTGCTGGACATCAACTCAGAGAGTTTTTCCAACCTGGCCAAGTAGACAGGTAACTTTCCCTTACATTTCTATCCCTAAGGTGAATGTGATTTGCCC